CTAGGAGGCCACCTGTTCCCTGGTTTCTCGCATCTAGCTAGCTTTAGAAGACAAACAATTGGCAAATTCTTTGCCACTCGTGCATTGCATCCTATGAAGCTGAATACAAAGTAGCGCGCTTTTTTTGTCAAAGTTAATTTTACCAAAGCTTCTGTACGCTTTAAGGTCAGTTTTGATTCACCTTTAAGTTATGATTTGTTCAGCCACTTCACTGTGGTGGACAGAAATGTTTCTAGCTCAGCAGCGTTTGAAGTTAGTGGTAATAGCAAGCAGCTCAGCTGTAAGAGACAGGGCAGGATTAACAAATAGCAGTGAATGTCGCTGCAGCAAATGAAGGCCCAGGCTCCCTTCTCTGGGAGGGTTTGTTCTGTATTTTGGCTGTTTGACAGCAGTCTGACACAACCAAGCAGAAGGAGCCCTTTCCCAAGCTGGGACATGTCCTTATGTAAGTGTTTATAATAAATGCCAACAGAAAAAAAAACAGAGGGAGGAGTGTTACATAAGGGGCAAAACACAGAGCGCTGCTTGTCGAGGAATCTGATTTGAGGTGTCACTTCAGAGAATGCCGTCTCATGTGCTGGCAGGAACGGCAGCCACTGCTGCACGCTCGTAGGCAGCTTTGAAAAGCAGCCAAAATGCTTATGTGCTGACAGGAAACCCCAGCAGCTCTGCCTGGTTGGGATCACAAGCCCCAGGAGGAGTGAGTGGTGCCTGTCCCACCTCACTCCTGTCTTCAGTGGAAGAAGCAATAGACCAATTTGTCCAAATGCAGCTCTGCTTCTTCAATCCCAGAAAGCTCACGGCAGGGCTGCAGTGCAGGTTTACTGTCTCTTGCTTCTTGCCTTGCTCTCAAAATTGCATGTGCAAGCTGGCAGGTTTGGGTAGGTGTGGTGAGAAAGCTTTAATGGGTCTAGTAGCTTTTGGTATACATAGCTTTTCTGGAGACAACGCGCTATTAATGCCATCCATTTTTAAAGCAAGGCAGTTCTTCCTCAGTACGAATTACAGAGGTGTTGCCTCCCTTAGCAACAGGCTGAAGACTGAGGTAGGTTTGAGGAGCTGGTCGTAGTATTAAGCTGTTAGCTGCAGCAGCAGAAGGCAGGGCCAGCTCTGCAGTAAGCTTTAATACTTTCAGGAACAGCTTAATTTGCTACACAGGTTTGTTTGCTGCAACAAAAGGCAGAATCTGTCACCACCTCTGGTATTTGTTTCTATCAGATGAAACAGGTTACAGAAGTTCTTTTCCACAGCAGTGGGCTCTGTGCTGTCTCACTGCTCCCCTGGGCCTGCACCAGGCAGTGCTGCGGGACTATAAGGTATAAGGAAACTTTTGTCTGCTCCATGGTTTGAAGGAGAAGCCGGGCTTTGGAGTCATCATTTAGCAATAGCAATGTCAGTGAATAAGCCAGTTTATGAGGGAGGGACAGACTTCACTTGGCTGCTAGTTTTTAAAAGATGCTCAGATGGGGTCCTCTGTTTACAGTAGGGAATGTTTCTGGCTCTTTGTATGTAGCTGAAACATCTGTTTCTTCAAGAGCAGAGTCCCTTCTTTTCTACTATATCACCTTTACTGAGAGAGACTTTGCCTCCAAGCAGTGGCACTCACTCCATGCACGTACGTGTTTTGTTTTGTTTTTTTTTTTTAATCTAGGGGGAAAGACCTGAAGGAAAAGCATGAACAGAAAGTTTATGAGCGTGAAATGCAGCGCATCACACTGCCACTCTCAGCGTTCACCAATCCTGCCTGCGAGCTTGTAGATGAGAACACAATCGTGGTGCACACCAACCAGACACCTGTGGAGGACATGCATGACGGCAGTGGCCCACTCATGGGGCAGGCGGGTACTCCTGGTGCCTGAGCAGCTCAGGCAGGAGCGATACAGGCTGAGCAAAGCCTCCAGCTTCCCACTGTGAGTGCGGGGGTTGTGTGTGTTCATTTCTATTTTGTTTTCTTTTTGATGAAAGCCAGATGAAGGTGATGCAGAGGGACAGAACAATGGGCTATTCATCACGATCTGTTTGAGGGGCACCATTCAGTGCATGACCAGCTGGGGACTGGTGTGGTGGACCCTGCCGCTTCCTCCCACCTATCTCCATGGTGTGCCAAGGAGCTGGGGGGGATGACGGGCCAGGCTCATAACTGGCCACAGATCCCATAGCCCAGAGTGTGGTTTTGGCTTCCTCTTTTTCTGTTCCTTTCCTATTTAATGGTGTGCACTGTTACTTAAGTTTCAGCCTGGAACCCCAGGAGGGAGCAGTACTGCAGGGACTGAGGGGAGCTTCACGTCAGACTTAGCTAGATAATTACACTCTGATTATAGTTCCTGCCTTTTTGCTTTAGTGGCTGAGAGCTGGAGACACTGTCCAGAATCCTCCTACTGGATCAAGTTTTTTTCCAAGGAAGAGTTTATTTGAGGGATGGCTTTGGCCAGGAGCAGTATGTTTAGCCCCAGTGTCAATTTGGAAAAGCTCTTCTCAAGCTCTTGACAAATCCAGGTCTTCCAGGGCTGTGGCCACATCTCCATTCCTCTGTGGTGCTACACGCACAGCCACAGTTGTAGGTGTCCAGGTGGTCTGTGCCTCCTGCTCACTTAATTACACAGATCAGGAGACCAAAGGCCAGCAGTAGATAGTTGTGGAGAGGATAGATAACATCCTCTTCTGAATTCCCTTGGCTTTCTACAGAGCCAGCTCTGGACAGCGTGGCCAAGCCAGCTGTGGAGGTCACCCTGACCATGATACAGCAGCTCTTGCTCTAAGGGCAGGACAGGGCAGCTGCTCTTTCAAGATCCCAAAGTTACAGCATGGCTTCTGGCCCAGCCTCCTTCACACACACTCAGCTTGTGCAGCAAGACTACTTGCTTACAGAGCCTGGCCCTATTAGAGAGGTTTTGTAACAACTTTTATTAGCATTTCAGGGGGTTTGGAAGGGATGGTTGCTGCAGTGTCTCCCAAATAGCACGAAGGCAAGGCCAGTTCAGGGAAACATCCATCCCCACCTCAGGGGATTCAAGCCATTCAAGTAAGTTTTCTAGCCATCTGCTTTATAGCTGTGGGCCTAACAGGGAGCAGCACTTGGCAGCAGGGGTTTTAGTGTTAACGTTTGATTCAGAAAAGGGAAACATTTTATTTTTAAATGCCTTTGAATACCATTTCTTTGTAAAATGTTTTAAATACCTCATTATGAGAAGGTGCAGATTGTGCTACCTTGTATTAAAGCTTAAAAGAAAAATGCTCTGTAAACCTGTGTGGACTGTGGCTCATCTGTACATTCCTCCTGCTAGAGCAGCATCCTTCTGCCTGTTGCAGACTTCGAACTGAGGAGAAGGGAAGATGCCACTTCAGTTTGCCAGGCCCAAAAGGTAAATCCCTACTAGCAGTGCCTCCATTCACCAGCACTGACAAGGGCCATGGAGCTTACCTCATTGCTGCCAGCAGCTAGTCTTGGACGGGGACGCTGTTCCTGAAAAGCAGCTGCGGGTGTGTGAGCTGCGCTGACTAAGCAGGCTGGCCTGTGAGAAGATGCTCTTGGTTACAGCCCCTTCCTGCACTGACACAGGTCAGTTCTGCTTTGGGGCTGCTCAGCAGCAGCTCCATCCCTTGGGGCCTTCCATTGGAAAGCATGATGGAGACAGAGCACAGCAGGTTACAGGGGGCACTGACATAGCTAGCATTTTTGTTCAGTCGTTGCCTTAACAAATGCCCCTTGAACTACATATTTCAGAATAAGAGGTTTCCAAGAACAGGCTGTATTTTTATCCCTGGATCAGAAAAGGAAAATGGAGAGAGGCTCCATGTTCTGCTGACTCCTGTCCACCCTTAAAAAAACCCACCAATCAACCAACCTTGACAACTTCTTCCATTTCCATCACTCCAGGTAAATAGTACTACAGAGCACTCGCACTGTGTTTCTGTAGTTCTGTAAATGTGGCAGAGCCCTTCGGCTCAAGAAAGGGAGTTCTAGATGATACCTGATCTGTGCAGCTTTGATGTTACCATTTTGTCACAACAGTAGAAACCGAAGAAAGTTACAGCTTCCTGCTTTATGTAGCACAGAGACAACAAAGTCTTGTTTTCATAGCATACATTTACTGCTTTTTAATTTAGTTAGAACATGGAGCTGTGCAAATCACAGTTCATAAACCCCACCCACACATCACCCAGGACTCCCCCCTTCAGGGGTCCCCTCACAAACCAGCCTGGGAGAGGGAAAGAAAGGGCAAATCCTATTAACAATCCTGAATCCACTGGACCCAGTTTAGAGAGGCTCCTCCACTGACTCACAGCACAGGGAGCCCCCAGTGTTTCTAAAACACCACTACACAGACTAAAAACACCCCGCCCCACACACACCTTTTGTGAGGTGATGGCTGGTCCCATGTTATTTTACGTAATAGTTTAAACTCATGGGTAGGGGGAGGAAATCAAAGTAACAGCAAAGACTAATACCCATTCCCCACCATTCAATACCGCAGGGAGGAGGGGAGAAAGGAGCACACTAAAAAATCCAGTTTAACCAAGATGTTTGCGAAACTTAAGAGCAGGACTCAAGCCAGCTTTTTGTTCCATTCTACCAACCACATGAGCTACTACGGCAGTAGCTTTCTTCCTTCTCCCACTGAAGGAGGAAGGAGAGAAGTGCTGGAAGAAAATACACCCCCACCCACCTCCCAATGACTCCAAGTCCTTTTTTCTCCCCAAAAGCAGGGAATGACCCTGAGGAAAGTTTCTGCTTGGAGAATCAGCTCAGGTGCTGCAGCAGCAGCTGCAAGAAGGACCTTCAAAGGGAACAACTTGCACAGCCTGCAGGAAAGGATGAGGTAATGGCAACTGAATTATTAGTTTTCCAGCTGCCACTCCTGGGAGGATGGGACATTCTCCAGCACTTTTCTGTTCACGACAAGTCAATCCTTTAAGTAACCTTTTGCATGTCCACCTTTGCCATTGTCCATGCACAAAGTCTGAGTTGCTTCAGACCTTCAGCTTTCTGAAGAGCACTTTCTGCCACCTCATGTCCACAGACCAAGGGCTCAAGCAGCTTCAGCACTCCAGGGATGTCCACAGCCAGTGCCTAGTGTAGTTCTACACATTCAGATTCAAATACTTTCACCAAGGTTAAGGTTCTTGGGCAGGCAAACTCACTGTGCAGGCTCAGGGTCTGAAGATGCTCATGTGGCTCATTTGCTGCCTGCCTTGTTCACCATCAGGAAGGGCAAGCAGAGCTCAGTCTTAGTGTTTCTAGGCAGGCTTTTGGAGGTATTCAGAGACAGAGGAGTCAAAAAACCCACAAAACCAAAACAAAAATTCATACACTCTTCCCCACAGACAAGGTATTTCAGGAGAGCTGCCCAGTTTCTGGGGCTTTTCACTCCCTCCCCTGATGCACACTGGAGGCCAAAATCTCAGTGGGTTGTTCTGGAAAACACATGCACAAACATACACACACACGCTGTCCTGGTGGGGCCTTTTACTGGATATCCAATTTCCCCAGCTTTCTGAGCAGGGTAGTCAGTGGGAGAAGCAGTTCCAGAAGTGCTGGTCCTTGCCCAGGAGTCTCCTATAGCAATTCCCTCCCTGGCAGACAGGCCAGGGTGACTTCACAGCTTGCAGCCAAGTTCTAAGGCACCACAGTAAAGAAGCCTGAAAAGGCCAGAGAAACATTTCTCAAGCCAGAAAAATAGTGTTGAGCAGCTTTCCTAGGTGCAGTTGGCAGGAAACGGCCCTTTTTGCTTCTGAAACATGCCAGAAATCCACAGTGAATCAGGATATCCAAGAGGAGGGGTGTTGGGTGGGGAGAGAGAGGCAATGCAGCAAACGCACAGCGTGGTGCCCCATTAATGCCCTGGAAGTGGCTGAAGTGCATCTCCCTCCCTGTCACTCATCTCGACTCCAATGGAAGTGGTGCAGGCAGCAGGATGAGCCGACTAGGTTGTGTTTTCAGGTAGCTTGTCACGGTTCAGTCCATACTGCACACCCACGTTGTGGTCCAGCTCCTCCAGCTCAGATGGAAGGGGGATAGCAAGTTCTCCCAGGTAGAGAGAGAGAGCTTCAAAGGAATCTTCCAGCTTGGAAAAAGGGGGCCTAGAAGCAGCAGTGAGGAAATGTGAGTGGGAAAGAGGAAGCAGAACAGCATCTGGAAAGGCTAAGCCAGTCATCCATCCAGGCCACTGTCCCATGCACAGAGGTGTGAGCAGGGACATGATCCCTCCCCATTCAGCTTCCGAGATTGCAAAGATCCCATCTGTCTGGGCTACCCGTTTTTAAAGCCAATGACCAGGGAGGTCTGGCTTTTTTGGAACCCACATGGCATCAACACTGTTCTGAAGCTACAAGTTTCACAAATGAAGCATTCACCTTTCAGAGCTGCTGCCAAGGTCTGCCCCTACTTTTTGTACGTGAGAAACCCTGAACAATCGTTCCTCCCTTACTCTCTCTGTCTCATAAATGGTTTCAGAGACCTCCACCATGTACAGCGGTCTCTTTCCCAAGCTGAGGAGTGTTTAGTCTCTCCTCACGTGGAAGCCTTTGAGCATTCCTATAGAAGGTTGGAGTACAGCCCTCATCCACCCTCTGTGCAAAGCAATCCTTCCACTAAGGGGATACAGACACATCCTCCAGGCTTACAAAGAGGAGTCCTCCAGACCCCAAACCTACCTGCTCTCTGGTTCCAGTCTGCAGCAAATAGCAGCCAGAGGGAAAAAGGCTGGAGGGCAGTCAGCAGGAACAAACTTCTCCCAGAACAGCTTGACATTAAGGCCAAAATCCAGTGTGCGTGGGAGACAGTCTGGGTCAGCATACACCTGGCCTATGATCTAGGGAAAAATGAGAGCAGCGCTTAAGTACAGCAACACTTCCAGAGCGTTAATAAACAGGGAACTTCGGCATCAGGCAGGGGCTCCTTCAAAGTATTACGGTGAAAGGGAAAGAGCAGAAACACTGTTCCTCCTTTCCAATGGGGCTAGTTGCACAAAGCAATGAGCAAGGCACTGCATACAGACAAACTTCACATGAAACTTTTTCAAGACCTGGTGATGTGGCCACTGTTGTGAAGGAAGGCCTGGACGGCTTGTCTTTCTCCCCAGGGTCTCTGCTAGGAGATACAGGATGATGTGCACTTGCCAGAGAGCTCGACAGTGTCTTGCTGCTGGGGATGATGCAGCCCCTCCTGATCGCAGGTAATCAACACGACCTGCATCACCATCCCATCTCTACCCTCTCACACCACCAGCAAAGCTCCTCTCTCTATGGAGCATGTCCAAAACAATGCTGTGAAGTCAACAGCACCACAAATTCTGAGTTGCTTTGTTACTGGCAGATTCAACCCCACCCACAGTCAGAGGGTAGGGGCGGAGAGAAGAACAGCCATAACCAATGCCCAGGAGGTTGCAGGCGAGAGCCAGTAGAGGAAAGGGCTGGGTGGAACAGAGAGAAGCACTGCCCCAGCACTCAGACATCCAGTGCTCACCACCTACCCTGCTGAGGTGCACTCACCACCTCCAGCACAAGTGTAGTAAGAGGGAAGGAACCCACAGCGCGAGCTTTGGGGTGATCTGGACTCAGACAAGGTCAATGTCAATACAAACTCTCACATGGGGAAGAGTATTAAATTTAAAGCCTCACTGCATATCACAAGAAGGGTGTTATTTGTAACCACCCAGGCTTTTCTGTGCCAATAACTCAGCAGGACAACCACATCCTGTAACTAGACAGTGGAACGCCCATTATGTGTTTTGTCAGGGTTATTTCCTTATCTGTTTGAGTGTGTAACTTCTTTTTTTAGCATCTTTATTTTGGTGACAAATGTTCGTATGCTACTACCCCTATAGTTGAAACAATTGTTTTAATCCCACATACAGATTTTTCAAGTTCCTAAATCTATCACTCACAACCACAATATTCTCTTGAGAGGAGGGCCAAGTGTAAACAGAGCACCAGATGAGACCACAAAGATTTATGCGCAGATATTTTCTTTGTCCCCTTCATCCAAACACTGAAGATGAAACTGTGCTGGTCTCTCCTGGTGTTCCCGTACCTGCTGTGTTACCCATACACATAACACCCCACCTTTCATCTGTATTTCCAGTCTTACACACCTTTTAAACTGAAAATACCTTGCAGCTTTTGAGTGGTGCTCTTTGCTCTGCAGACAGAAAAGCCTGATAAAAGAGTAAGACTGTGCATTGGCTCAGAAATAAACTAAGCTAACAGACTTCAGGGTGCAAGCTTCATTAATCGACCTGCAAAGAGGTTTCAATTTCCTCTTCTTTGAAGTGAAATGCCATCCCCAGTGGAGGGCCTGAATTTGCTGAGATTATAAAGGTGATTGTTCTTTTAATGAGGCAGTAGAAAAAGAAAAATAAAAAAGTATCACAGTTTTAGGGAATATGTCTGCTTTCAAATGGATACCAGGGCTCAGTCAGAACTTGTTGGACTTTTTTACAGCTTCTCTCAGTCCAGGAGGAACTGCTGCATTTCTTTCAGTCCAGGAAGAAACTCTCTCTGGGACCAAAGAGTTACAAGACCGTTATCTTCCTTGAGGGAGCAGAGGGCAGGGTAAGCTTGTACTCCCAGCCTAATTCACCATGCTCTTAGGTCACAGACTGCACACTCAGACACAGAGAACTGGCTGATGCAGTATGTGCAAGGAGGTGGCAACGGGGAAGAAGTCCATTATAGATGCCATGTAACATCCTGGTCTTACCTCACAGAGAACAATCCCAAATGAAAAGATGTCCACTGTCTCATCATAGCTCTGTCCTGCAGGAAACACAAGACATTCAGCTCTGTGAGAGGCAGTTCCCCATCCAGCTATTCCAGGAGCTGCCAGTCCAAAGCTGAACTAAGCCTATTTCTTGGAGGGCCCTAAAACAGGAGACAAAGCAAGGCTTAAATCTGAGGAGGGTCAGTTGCCCCAAGATATGTACACCAACTGCATCTTCCTGTACACTGCCATCACATATTAACCCCGCTTCTTTCTTCTGCTGGGGAATTACAGGACAACACAGGGAAGCCTGGTGTATCTGAGGTCTGAGCAAATGCTAAGGATAACTGGAAAGCTTCTGCCCATTCCCATTGATTGCTGTTCTAGTGCATCTCTACAGTGCACTGTCAGTGTTCAGCTTCCCCAGCAGCGAGTGAGTGCCCAGTCCCTGCTGCAGTGACTGCAGAGATAATAAATTACACGCTAGCAGTGCTTTGAATCTGGGAAAGCAGACTGGCTCCAGCATGCTATTCTCTGCTTAGACACGCCCCTCCCAAGCCAATATCTGGTAAACAGCCTTGCTTTCAGAGGTGATGTCAGACTATGCTCTTGCTGTTCTCTTGACAAATGCCAGGTCTGAGACAGGCTCCGAGAAGCAGCCTCAGACTCCAGCAGGGCCTGTAGGCCTTGAGAGAAAGAAAACAGAACAGCACATAAGAAAGCAATACGGAGAAAAGTTAAGCTGGGGGACAAAAGCCCAGTCCTCCCTTCCCTGGTGGACTATGTTGGACAATACTGATATCGTAGCCAGGCAAACTGCCCGACCTGGTCAGACAGACCTGCTCATTAGGAGGAAATTGTATCCATTGTATTTCACCCTTACCTCAACTCCTGCAGGGGCAGTTTTTCCCCTAAGGGACATAGTTCATCTTTAATGCAACCAAGGGCTGCATGCCAAAAAACCAGATTTCCCTGCACTTGGACAACTCCCACCCCAGTCCTGAGGCTTCAGCAAACCTGGCAGCAGATGGCTTCTCTCTGGATCTACGCAACAGCACACGTAAGCCTCATCCTGGAGTTTAATGATTCCCTGTCTCAAGGGGCAGTTCCAAAGCATGAGGCTATAACAGAAATTGATCTCAGGTTCAGTCTTATTTCAGGCCTCTTTTGTCTTCCCTGTTATCTGGATCATAGCAAGTTTAGGTCTGTTGCCCTCCTGAAGAATCCTGCTGTCAAGCCAGAAACATTACCTCGGCTGGTACAAAGGCTTAGCAGGTCAAGTACTGCAAAAGAAGTGCAGATAGGGTACCTGTGTGTATAAATAAGCTTGCATATTAGCAGGTCTAAAACCATAGGCTCTAATAAGTTTGATTGTTACTAGGGCCCCGAAGCTTTCAGTAATCCTATCATCCCTATACCTTGCCACAGGCTGTCTCCTCACCTGCACCCTGGTATCGCTATCTTACCATTTAGCATCTCTGGGGCCATCCAGTATGGGTTGCCAACCACCGTGTAGCGCTTCTTCCTGTCACTCTTGCGTAGGGTTCGTTTCTTGGCAGATGGCTTCTCCAAAGTGGGCTTTTTTCTTTCCTCCACAATCAGCCGAGACAAACCGAAGTCAGCCACCACCACTGTCTTATCCTACACAAGGGATTTAGTACAAGCCACTGATTCCTCTTAGCTCCTTTCAGGAGCAAAGAGGCTGCAATTCCTGTTCACTATCAGCTACACTGTAAGGGTGACTATCAAGGTTTCCTGCAGCCAGGTAAGTGTAGCAAGCTGTCTAGACAGGTGTAAGACACACAATTCACAATGCCAACTCATCATTTCCTCTCTTCATTGTCTGTGTGGTCGCTAACATTAATCCCATCAATTGGGCTACACTTGCCAGGGCAAACCTGGACCTTTTCTTTCAGACCTTCCTATTCTACCCAGCCAGAAATTAATTTAGACTTTCACCCTGGGTCTTTTGAAGCCCACATACTAATCTCATATTCCAGCCAAGTGAACAAGGGCAAGGCTTGAGGGAATGAAGATACACAAGAATCTTGTGACCTAGCATTTCAAAAAGAGAGAGCACACACATGTGCACACACCAGCACACTTGTCTGAATCCTGAGTGCCAATAAAAAGTCATCAAGTGGTTGAAAGAACAGAAGCAGCTGTAGAGAACATTTCATAGCTCAGATAAGGAACAGAGCTGTACTAACTCTCATAATGTGACTGTTAATAGGCAATACTACCACAGGAAAGGGGATAAGAGAACAGAATGATGAAACAGCGAAAGCTAGATCAGTCTGGAAAATCCTATATGAAGATGAAGCTCCCTTGTTTAGGGCAGTAAAAGCTGCTCTCAAATCAGTTCCACCCTGACAAAAGAGGGAACATCATGTGGAGAAAACCAAGGGACAAGGATGACAAGGAGGGGAACAGCATGCTGTGGAGAACAGAGGTGTAACTCACCAACTTGATTAGGCAGTTGTGGGAATTCAGGTCTCTGTGTATGATGCACATGGAGTGCAAGTAAGCCTGGAACAGAGGGAGAAAACTTGCTGTTAGGGGTTCCCAGGTGAATATGTCCCTTCACATTTACAGACCTCAACAAATAGATGCTACTGGTCAGGCAGCATCCACAACCCCTTATACAGCACCCTGCTGAAGCAGCTAACCCTGACCCTGGAGGTTTGCTCTGTGATGAAGGGACAGTCCAACTCACCATTCCAGAAGCAATTCCTTTGGCAAAGCTGACCTTCTGCTGCCAGGGAAACGGGTCCTGAAAGACAAGTCCTCAATGGTCAGGGACTATCTTACCAGCCAGCTGGTGACCAAAATTCCTCCACGACAGGACTCTTAGAGCAGTCAGAGAAAGATGATACAGCCCCAGGCGCTTCCTGCCTCAGGCCACCCACAGCTAAGAAGCAGCTTTTTCACACAGCTCCAAAGGAGAGCGCTAACAACAAGCACCGTAAGGCTGGTACAACCAACAACACACTGTCAACCTCACTGAGCAGAGGTCTACCAGGCTTCCATACTCACCGCATTGCGGAGGAAGTCCTTCAGGGTGCCCCCCTCAATGTACTCAGTGAGGAGATTCAGCTTCTTGTCCTTGTACAGTACACCGATGAACTTTAGCACATTGGGGTGATCCAGGCTGCGCATCACTTTCACCTGGGAAGCAGAGATACCCCCCCGCCCCCAAAGAAGAGAATGGAACAAGTCCTGACAGATCCGCTCTGTGGTGACAAGCACTCCAATGCTGGAGGTCCCCTCCAGCACTCAAACCCCAACCTTAAGGCAGTCAATTAACTGTTGCCGCTTCATTTTCATGCTGTGCAATTAACCTGATCTTAGTCTTTAAGGAGAGCACCCCTGAGTTTGGCTAACTTTTAAGAGACAGGAGCTCTCCAGGACAGCTATCTGGTCCATACTGCATGTGTCAGGGCCAGAATAGCAGCATCAGGTGTTTAGGGAGCTGCCTTTAAGCTAAATCTGACTTTGAAAAACATGGTAGGCAGCCACCAAGAAAATAGTTTAGCTTAAATACAGCAGGAGTCTTAAATATCTTACAGATATAGGCCTTCATTATTTGTATTTATGCACAAGGCTCAAGGGATAAATCCTTTATGTATTGCACAGCTCAATTTGCCTCAGACTCAGACTGCTTTTTATCATTGAAAAATTAATGAGCTGGGAGCTGAAGCCATGTCTATTGCTCAGTGTGAGTCACACTTCACTGCAGCAAACATTCAGCTCATGTCAGCTTTTCCCCGTGTGATGTCTCCCTCCTCAGTGCCTTGATTCCTGCCAGGTTGCTGGCATGATCACTCTCTCTCTGGAGAAGATGGAAGAGAGTTCCACCACAGTACTGGCTCAGAAGCTTTTAGAAATCTTGCTCCTACCTCTGTCAGGAAAGTCTTCTGTGTTTCCTCATCACAGCGAATCAGTTCTTTCATCACCATCACCTTTCCTGTTGCTTTGTGAGTCACCTGGTGGAAAGAGAAACCACAACTACAGGCAAGGTTCAAGAATACATAGCTCCAATGCTCTTGCAACATTTCTGAAAGAGAGGGTAACATTCCCCTCCATCCAGAGAGGAATATAGATGGGAGGAAATTCAGAGCCCAGCGATCTGCAGAAAACTGCATAAAATTTCTCCTTTCAGAATTCAGCAAAGACTCTGTACATGAAATAGAAACTACCTAAAGCTGACAGAGGATCATACCAAGAGATCGACAGCATCCCAGGAACCAGAGCTGAAGTCTCTATTTTAGGTAGCATAGGGCTGAGCATGTGTACAGGCTGTCAAAGCCCCTGAAGGCATCAGTTCCATACTTGTGCATGCCTCAAGTTCCCTTACAGAAAGTACTTGCCCAGCGTGATGCTCACATTTTGTACGCAGACCCTAGCCACTACATTCTGTATCAGCAAAGGAATCAACATTCACTTGCATCAGAAATCAAACCAAACAACCCAAAACTACATTACTACATGCTTTGGTTTTATGGGGACTCTGAAGCCTGATGGTTTCTGATGAGCTTATCAAACATACTCATGTGCAAGTGCAAGTGGAACTGGGGTGTACAGGCTGTTCAGTTAAGGCAGGAAGCCATTATTTTACCATGCTCCTTGGGAGCAGTGTATCGCTACCTGCAAGGAATGTCCCAGAATGGTGGCAAACACACAAATCCACCATAAACGTCAGGTGATAAGTTTCCTGGCTTTTGACATGGAAAGCTGTTTGCCTGTATCTAACTAGTTCCTGGCATTTTGCTGTGTTCTAGAGGTTTCTTTTAACCAGCTCTGCCTTGCTTGCATACAGTGCATGAGTGAGTAAAAAGGGTCCAAATTCTGATAAGCAGGTTTTCCTGGAAATCCTCTTCCCTTCAGCTGCTTAACTTGGACAGCTCTGTCTCCCTAAGATCTCCAGGTAAACTAAACAACCACCTTCTCTCTAGGAACAGGAGGAAACTATTCTGACCAGATACAGTACTTGTTGCATGAAAAACAGTCAATCTGAAGCTCAAGAAAGGTGTCACTTTTTTGCCTTGTACCCTTTAAAATAAAAAGCCTTTCAGAAAAACTCCAGAGCTGCAGTCCAGAACACAAGACCCAGTTATAGTATTTAGGAAGCTTATGAGCTCTTACAAACACTGTGGCACACTAGTTCTGTTTGGAACCATGGGACATAGCAAGGCTGATATAGGTGGAATACAAACGCATGGAATAAACACAACAGAAGCAAGAGTACAATATTCTTCTGCTCCCATCTGAAGTCAAGCATCCATATACAAGTAGCGAGCCAGGGAACACTACACATTTCAGCCAGGGACATGAAAGCCAGGAACATCTAATACCCAAAGATAAAGGGAAGTGAAGAGACAAAGACAAGACAAGGCTAAGTGGAATTCTTAAGCTGACATACCAGCAAAACCGAAACAAGTGTCATCATGAAACTCCAAGAGGGCAATTTTAACTCCCAGAGCATGCACCAGAACAGGATGGCTATCGGGTACTTTGAGCAGAAAAGAAATGCCTTTGTGCCATTAACTGTGGGGACGCAGATGACAAAAGCATGCGACAGAGGAAAGGTTCCGCTTACCTGGACCTGTTATTTCTCTATGAGCAGAGGAGAAGAGAAATATGCTCATTAGTATGGATCAAAAGCATTGGGTTTGTAGTACTGGCTCACCACCTCCCATGGAAGCATGAGATGAATATGGTGGCTGGACACCTGAAGTTTATACAGGTGTAAGGAGAGAGGTCTCATAATATGGTGAATAGCAATCTGAGTACTGAGCAGCTCACAGCACCTTAGTAAGGCAGAAGAAGCTGCCCCTGATGCTGTGAGGTATGCCAGGATAGGAGCTGCTGAAGCATCCCCACTCAAGACCAGAGAGCTTAAATACAAGAGAACTGCTATTAATGGAGATTTTAATTGTGAGAGTCATGCAAGACCTGACCACTACCACCACACTGACAAGCCATTTAGGCTCTGCTGGGGGTTCAGAGATGGTCACTACATCAGCCTGGCAAACCCTCAAGCATGCGACACTAAGGGTGGGTAAGAAATACTGTACTGGGGTTGAATGCACCTCTTCATAAGGAAGATGCTCTTAAGAGAAAGTGTAGCTTGTTCCCCATTCTCCCACCTCACCCAGGTAGCTGCTGTGACACAGGCACTCTGGAGCTCTAAGTCTAACTCAGGAGATGAGTATGTATGGCCAAGGTTGACATTCAAAAGGGACAAAGTCAAAACCGCCTGCAGCCAGAGACACTCATGGTCAAGGAATGAAACAGAGAAATGGATCTCACTGAGCAAACCAGGTGAGTGCCAAGACCGATCATATCAGCAGGGCAAAGGCCACCGAGACAGCGGCAAAGGATCCCGAGATAGGCAGACACTGCTGTAATCAAGGTAAATGATGAATGTTTGGGGACCTCCCTCACCTTGATTGCTTGTCCAAAAAATCCTTTTCCTAGTACTTCGCCATGAATCAGGTCACAGGGCCGGAAGATTTGCTGGGAGCAGCTAGAAGAAGAACGTAGGGATTCAGAACGACTGATGTCACGGCTCAGAAGGAGTGGTTCCTTTGGAGAACTGGGGCCAGGAGACTTAGAAATGCTGTTACTTCGCCTAGAAAACAAAGGAGACGGGAAGATCAGGGAAGCTGCTAGGAAACTTTTGGTCCAGCATATCCCATCATTAGCTCCTAAGGGACCAGTTTATAGATGTGCTTTGGTGCTTTTCATATCTCAAAAGCCAGATGCTCTCCCAGCACCATAGAAGCTCTTTACAAACCTAGAGCAGCTTCCAAATCAGAGCTGCCTAAGAATAACACATCTCCTGCATTGTCAGTCAGAAGTGGAGCTCTGTGAACAGGAGGAGGAAGCTGTGAAGATGCAGCACTTGCTATCTCTAAACAAATGTTAAAATACTGGTAAATGACTAAATGAGCAACTGAGTGCCCCAGCCTAGGAAGACAAGATTTTTCCCAAGTCCCAGGACTCAGCCATATTCCCTTTAGGGACATGTTCTTCCCCAGCCATTTAAGGGTGGTAAAAATCTGACCTTTACATTTTCTAACTGTAAAACTTAGTAGCTTTTCTATGTTAAAAGTAGAGGTCCTTATTTTTATTAAGGAAAGTTTGCCATCCTGAAAGGGAATGGAGAGAGTACATGTCAATAGCAGGATCTAAAGCTCTCAGCTGCTTCGCCAGTGGTTCCTACCAGGGCTCATATCAGAGCTGAGTCGTGTCTCTGCAGTCATTTGCAATCGCAAGGCCTAGGCACAGAGCAGCCCAGCCAGGTAGCACAGGGCAAAGGCAAGCTAGGTCAGAGGCAGAGCTTCCACGTCTTTACCTGAGGGAGCGCCGTCGGAGCGTTCCTTCCAGATTCTCCTTGATGTCCAGTGGAGAGAGGGAGCGTGGGGAAATGGGCGGCTTTATGTGGGTGGGGAGACGGGAGTCCAAACGAAGCCTGTCTAAGCGCTGCGAGACCGGGTCATGCTCTATCAGCAGCTGAAGTGTCTGGCTTGTCTTGCGAATCAGTTCCTCCACCTGAAATCAAACCAAAGGACAGGATGATAGCAGACAGGAGGAACACAAATGACAGGAGATAGAGAAGACACAGCAGAATGCCCCTCAGGAATGAGAGTAGAGAGTTCAGTGAGATCACTCCATAGTTGTGGTTTAGTTGCATGCACCACAGCTGTCTACCAGACATATCAAACTAGCAACATAGAAGTTCCTTATGCTATCCAAATCCTCTTCTTTCTGGTCAGCTACAAGTGACCTATACAAAAAAAGATGTGGACAGGCTGGAGACGGTCCAGAGGAGGGCCACAAAGATGATCAAAGGACTGGGAAGCCTGCCATATGAGGAAAGGCTGAGAGAACTGGCTTTGTTCAGCCTTGAGAAAAGAAGGCTTAGGGGAGACCTTATCACCATGTTCCAGTATTTAAAGGGTGGCTACAAAGAAGATCGAGACTCCCTTTTTACAAGGCATCGCATGGAAAAGACAGAATGGGTACAAGTTACTCCTGGGGAGATTCCAATCGGACACAAGAGGACAATTTTTCACAATAACAATCGGCCATTGGAATCATCTCTCCAGGAAAATGGTGGATTCCCCACATTGGAGACTTCTAAGATTTGGCTGGACACGGTGCTGGGCCATCTTGCCTAGTCTGTGCTTTTGCCAAGAAAGGTTGGACCAGATAACCCTTGAGGTCCCTTCCAACCTGGTATTCTGTGATTCTATGAAACAATTTTTTTTTTTTTCCTTCCCTAAGAAGTGTTCAAAAACTACACAAGCTTCCATCCTGAACAGTGCTGCAAAAAACAGCTTTGCAAAACCTACATGGATATTTATCTGAGAGATGTCTATTGTGCTCCTAATGTTCTCTTCAGCAGCAACAGTAAATAAAACCCTTGCATAGTGAAGGTAATGGTGGTCTCACTACACTCTTGCAGCATCACCTGATATCTGTATAAAGTATTTATTTGTAAATACCAAATCAAATACTTTTTTCGCAATGGGAAAAACTCATCCCTAGGATCAGCTGAGCCTTTGTCCATTAGCAAGTGCCTCTAAAAGCATCAGAACAGTGGACTTCACTAGCAATACATGAAGAGTCTTCACAGCCTCTCTGTCCTCTGAGATGTCATAGCCCTACACTTTTCTTATTACCTCCCTTCATATTTGAATGCTGCAAAATCAGAACTGCATCCTAATTGCATTTCCATCTGTTACATTTTCCTCTTCAGCCGGAAGGAGTAGCAAAGCTTGTCTTCACGTTTATTCCTACTGTGAGCATGAGTATAATGAACACACACTGTATGTAGGGGGGGAGAACAGTGCTGAGAAAGAGAAAAGCTATAGGAAGGCAGATGAGAAGGAGGCTTCAGAACAGAACTCTACCCACCTCCTCCACCTGTAATGTACGAATAGGAGCTCCATTAATCTCCAGGATACGATCTGCAGGGTGGATGGCGTTTCGGACATCTGGGCTGATGTGCATCCTGTTAACTCTAAACACGGGAATTATAGTGTGTGGAGGAAGTCAGTTTAGCCAAAATTATAAAAAAGATTTGATCTCTGATGCTTCCCTTCATATTGGTATTCTGAAATAAAACAATGCTAATCTACCAACACAGGTAGCTACCCTTAGACCAAGTGCTTAGGTCTGAGCTGATTTGGGGAGAGCTCTTCATTTGCCCAATGGCAAAAAATGTTAGTCCATTACAATTGGCCAAATGTTTTGCATTCAGTGAGGGAGACAGCACTGAGAAATAAAGTTATCAATTAAGGTCATCACAAGAAGCAAAACGGAGACCAGACACAAATGGCTATTAGTCAACATATGTCTCTGTTGTGCCAAGACAGATCCCCTCAGCAGTTAAAGCAGCTGGCAGGACAGCAGCGCTGCAGAATTTTTACCAGCTCCCTCTGCACAGACATGTACCTTGCACACAACCTTGTCATACTCACTCTTTCACCTGGACACCAGTGGCATAGCTGGAGCAGCCACCTTCAACAGACACGGAGAACCCCCTCTTGCCATCAGTAGCTGCCGGCATGGAAATGAGGGTCAGCGTATAAGGCAGCTGCTCACGCAGAGACTCAGTGGAGTGTTTTTCTATCATCGGTGTCAGCACAATCTGGTTATGGCATTTTCCACTAAAAGAAGTGAAGAAAGTCATTATGGCAGTATCCTAGCCCTCCCTGCCAAACTCACATTTCTAAGTTCTCTCATTGACCATAAGCTATAGTTTTTAATGCTTACACCATTCCCCCCTCCCTCCCTCAAAAGGCAGCTTCCTGGCATTCCTCAGTGTAGCATTCAGCTGAACCATGCTGAACCAGCTAAACATGGCTTACACATACAGCAGGGAGCAACTCTGTGGCAAAGTGTGCAGCTCCGTCTTACCAGTAGAGAGTGGAATGTTGCACGAGTGCGTAAGTGTCCCCATCTTCAATGATCACTTTGCAGCTCATACAAGCAAAGCACTCGGGGTGATACTTGTATTCGCCAGCCACCTACAGACAGAAAAGGGAGTAGCTTAGTAGGGCCAAAATCCATCAGCAGATGCGACTACTGCTTTCCTCTCCAATTAATGCGCTCATTCAGATCTCAAAGTCAAGTGGCAGTTTTTTGCTGGAGAGTTATATTAGCCCATTCTACCTTTCCTGAACCCCATCCTTGGCACCCTGTTTGCAAAACTTCTCTGAAACAAACACGTCAACATGCAAAGCAAAGCTTGCATCCCAGGAACATCTGCTATATTTGGCAGCTGCTCAACTATCAAAAATAGTTGGTAGTCTGCTGCAGAGTAGTAAACAAGATATTAAACCTTCCTGTTCAGTTGCTCTTGGCAAGATAACTAACGTTATGCCTGAATTAATAAAGCTGAAAGGGCTTTTTTTTTTGGCAAACAGGCAACGCACAAATTCAGATACTTTACCAGCCAGCTGACAGAAAAAAAAAAAAGGCGAGCTGAAACTGAGACAACAAAATACCTTTAAAGAATATTTTTATTCATTGATCTGTTTTTCAGTTTTCCTTATGAGAACTTCCCTTATTGACAGTATTTTGCAAAGACTTCTGCAAGCAATGAGAAATTGTCTGCACTTTTCTCAGTACTTCCCTTTGAGGTAGCAATCATACTACTGAGTACCATGCTGCTTTTATTTTGGCCCTAGAAAAACAATGGTTATGTTTCATTCTTGACAGTTTTAAAGGTTAAATATTTACAAGGTTGTGGCAAGAAGAGGAACATTTAGGTGAGCCCCATATTGTGCAGGCAGAGTTCAATGCTTCAAAGCAATTGAGGCTAACACTACTTCAAGACACCATCAGCCAGAAAACCACTCTGGCCACAGTCCAGGTGGGACTTGGATGGCAACCTTCCCCAAAGCCAGAACCTGCTGCTTATCCTGAGCTGAGAGGTTCAACTCTGCAGTGCAGTGGAAAATCACCCCATGGAGACACTGAGGCACTGTGCTACAGAAACAGAAGCGATGTCCCCTTAATCACCTTTCCACTTCTCATGCCTGTGCATTTCAGCACCTTACTTTCTTTGTTCATAAACTTCAGATCCTCACAACTCCCTCCTTTAGGAGCTACCTCCATTCAAAATTAATCTTTATCTAGAAGATGCCTCATTTCTAATCTCTGATTAGAGATTAGAGTAGCAAGGAGACTATTACCTTCAGTTTATTTGGTTATCTGAATAGATAGGACAACTCCCAACCAAGTTTGAGGAGTTGGAGGCAGGCATGTCCTGCCTCCAGGCAGGCAGGAGTCCTTACCATCACAGGTCCAGTCATCAGCAGAGAGCAGCCATGGCAAGATTCCCCAAACTTCCCCCAGTAGTCTTTGTGACAGTACAGCTTCCCGTCTTTCTCATAGTACCAGTTAGTGAGGGGATCCTGACATTCAGAGCACCTTGAAGGAAATAAAGGAACAAAGTTCCAGTTGGCAACAAGTCACAAATCAATAGAAAAGGTCATCTCCTGCATGGAGAAAACAGACATTCAGCAGCAGCTCACCACCAGCTCTTCTAATTATAGATATACTAAGGCCCTCCATTTCCCAATGCTTTTTCAACTGAAAATTAGCACCAAACCCAAGGTTTGTAAGGAGAGGTGGTATCAACCAACACAAAGGAAAAGACAAGCTTCCAAAGTTTAAAACAAATCCCATCCATTAATTAAAACACATCAGTAGGTTTACAAATTCTGCCTTATAGATTTTGCTCCTTTGAGTTGCCCAGCACACAGATAGCTCTGCTGTGTTTCTACTTAGTGTTTCTATAGTATCACACCATCTTGTGCCAGAGCACCTGTCTCCTCAGCCAGTTTTTCCTGGGGGGCCAGAGAGGCAGGATGCACTTCCCTATAAAACACAAAGCCAGTTTTGCACCAATCTTTGTGGAAAGCCTTTCTATTCTTCTGTAAGTAGACCTCTCCCAAAAGGTCAACCACAGCACTATCCATTTGAGGGAGAGTCTTCAAAGCAGTTCATCCTTTGAGCTCCATATACTTACTGCATCCACCAATTAACTGTGATGAAAGTCCTCCACCCCTCCACACCAATTGCTCTCCCTTTCCTTCTGCTGCTGACAGTGCATGAGAATAAAAACCCACAACCAACCAAAAAACCCCAAACAAAACAATTTCTCTAATTTAATGAAGAGAGTCTCAAAATCCTTCATGTATCCGTGTCAGCTCCCATTTCAACAAGCAACCTTATTAATCCTCTATCTACATCCCCTCCAAGAAACAAAAAAACCTCCTCCCCTAAAAAAAAAACCAAGGAAAAAGATGCAGCAATTATATTGCAGATATCATTTTAGCAAATCACAAGCAGAATCCAGATCTTCAGGCTTCCTGAACACAAAATAATCCTGCCTCAGCAGGATGCACCGGGCAAGGGAGTTTATAACTTCTGCAGCATGGAGGTGTGACTTAATGGAGAGATAAGGCACAGACAGCAGTTGCATCACTAAAGATTATTCCATTAGCCCTGGGCAGCACGTTCTCAGACTTTAAAAAGGAAAATTAGTCTGGTATTGGCCATTTCCGAGTGCAGAATCCAAGGCAGGTTAGCCACCAATAACTGGTTCAAAGAAACACCCAAGGATCAATGTCATCATCAGTATGATGCTTTCCCAAAGGTGCAAGGAAGATTTTCTCCTGCCCCTTATCCCAACGACTGTCTCGGTTAGTACACTGGAGGGGAACCCATCGCACTGGCATGGGGGTTTAGGTGGGCGCGTGCCCTCCTTGGACAGCAGGTCTCTCTACAGCACCAAATGCACTGAAGTCAGCCAGTGGCAGCGCAGGTGAACTTTTACATGCTCCCAGCTCTAAGATGAGAGCTACTGTTGACTTCACCTTTCACAAGCTTCCTGAAAACTTATTTGTGCCAGAGACATTCCTTGTAAACTCCACCAGCTTGTAATGAGCGCGATGATATGTGAGGCTGGTCGTGTTCCAACACGGAGAGAGTTATTTTCTCCAGCTCAAGAGACTGCAAAGCAACAAGGTGAAGCTGCTTGTAAGCAGCCTATGGTTTTAGGGGAAAACACACCTCATGAGGTATTTAGTGCCGTACCCTACCCTCAGGAAAACTGCTCCTTCTAATGTATTTGGCTTTTATAGCATTTGTTCTTCCAGCTGAGGAGCTCCATATCCTGCCCCCCCACCGCCCCTTCCTCAGTGATGGGAAAGAACTCCAGCACGTGCAACAGGCCCTGCCAATGTTGTCTGAGGCAGGGGGGAGCAGTAACTTAACATTGCTATACATGCTGCATGCATCATTACAGCCTCAGCCTTGGGGCACTGTCATGGTTACACCCCACTCATGGTATGCAAGAGACCTAGAGGGCATTGCAATGCATTTTGCCTTCAACCACTAGCCTTTGGCTTCCATTTGCAGTAAATACCCCATGCTGAATGATCAAGTAGGTGAGTGGGAGGGAGAAAAGAGCAAGTGGAGACTAACAGCAAAGATTTCTATCACCTTGTGGCAGGAACATCTGGCTCAGCATGGGCAAATCAGATCCCTCAGACTTATCCTAATTCTGCGTGCATGCCTGTACCAGTGCGTGCTCCAAAAGTGATTACATCTTCAAACAGGGAGCTGTGACCAGACCTGCGCTTGGGATGCAGACAGCAATACTGGAGACTGCTCCACCAGGACTTCAAGACCTGGCCTTCTGTCTAAGTTCTCTCCAAGTAGGTGAGTTATTTATTTATTTGTTTTTAAGCACAACACCTTCCTTTCCTCACCCCTCTTCAATTTCACCTTCAACCACTCCTTTTTCTCCCTAAGAAAATGTAGACTTTCTGCAAAAGCAACACAACTGCACTTCTGTTTAGATAGGCTCCAGAGGATCATGTATGCTTGTCTTCCCTTTACCTTTCCTCTACTCCTTCATGGTTTGATTCCAACCTTACAGCACTTTGATTAGTTTGCTTCCATCCGGAAATAAGCACTGGTATCTAATTTGCAACACACCCAATAGCAAAATGAAGGTGAGGGGGTGGAGCCAGCAAGCAGTCAATTCTTTGCTGTGCAATTAAACAAATCTGGGCAGGACAAGTTTGCAGCTTAAGGCTCAGAACCCCACCCAGGGCAATGAGGCAACAGGAACTAAGCAACCAGCCCCAGAGAGGCTAAATGCTGGTAATGGGTCTAACTGGCTACTTTGTTAATCACTGACAGCAAGAGTACAGACATGGCTATGGCCCATATGGCCAAGCAGCACCTTCTATTATTTACCGTGCATTCTGTAGTGTAGAAAAGGCTTTAGATTTGTCAGGTGTGGAGAACTGGCTGACAGCACACAGGTATAGTTTCAAGACCTGTTTCAACTGTTCCAGTGCCTTCACCCAAATGATAAAGGCATCACGTGATTGTTCCACATGACTGTCATTGAAGAGATACGTCAGAATTTTATCACAGAAGATACAAGAATTACCACTCCTTCCTTTCCCTCCTCACTAGAGCACATGGCGTTGCATTGCTGCCATTGCCAGAGCTCATGTCAGCCAAGACAGGAATACAATTACTTCTACAGGTATTAAGCAAGCTAATCTTTGCCGGTCACTACAACCAAAAGAAAGGAAGATTTCTTGCTCCTCTGTCTTTTATAGTTTAGAAACCACTGATCTTCTCCTAGATGATTTGCTATTCTTATTACAGAGTAACAAAGCATGGTAATCAAGTTTCTCGGAGGAGGGGCAACAGCCATACCTGACGTGTTTCCTCTTGCTGCCCAGCCACCATTTTCAGAGCTGCAGAGCCGCAGAGCCCTGCTCCGATTATACAGTCCCATACATTATGATTCTTTGCTTCCCAGCCTTGGCTATAAAGAATAAATTAATCTGCCTCCCATAACCATCCTCCAGGAACCCCAGGCAGCATGTGGGTGCAGTGTTCAGCCCTGATGCTCTGCAGCACAGCAGGTGCAGAAAGAGTTCACAAATCGCTGCTTGATGGCTACTTGTTTTTGTGGGGGGTGGTAGGAGGATCAGGTCACAACAGGTAACCAGCCCGGTTTTCAGCGAGATGGGAGATTCAATTGATGTGGCATCTCTTTTACATCTAAATGAAAGCCAATACCCTAATGGAAGCAAAGACTTCCCTGGCACTGAAGAGACAGATCCCTTTGAGAAGGGCTCATTAATAAAATGCACCCCTCACACACACTGTCAGGCTAGATCAGTTAACGCTAGACAGGCTCAAAAGAGCTGTGGTTCCAATTCTGCAGGCAGAACTGGGGAGAGGACAGTCATGCAGATGGAAAGCTGCGGAATAAAACATAACCCCAGCCCGTAGCTAACCCAAAGGCTTCTTACCCGGACTTAGCAGAAGTGTGTGCACGGGCTACATAGAAGACACTAGACAGGGAAGAACAGATGCTAGAGACTAAGACGACGGAGTGTTTAAGCTCTGACTATGCAAAACGACTTCCACACACTTAGGAGAAGGTGTATCTATGGCTTAGCATGATGCCTTCCACATATTACAAATAACGAATGTCTGCTCACTTTCTTTCTGCTGAAAGCGGATGCTGTTTCAGAAAGTTGCCTAAGGAAGCTTAGCAATTGTGTGGCAGTATTTACTCCTATGCTAGACTGTTTTAACAAAAGGCTTCTTACTCCCAAATCACTACAAAAGTGTTTGCAGGAACAGGATCAATAATGAGCAAATCCGAGTGTAGGGGATAGGAGGGAGACAATGAAACTGCAAGCTGTGCCTTTCCCCATCCATTCACCTTATCAGCACATCAGCGCCAGTCACCATCCTGGCTGCGTTCAGCCCCACTAACAGTTTTCACTGTGGAGATGCAACGCAATCACAGTGAGTGGCTGCTCGTCCCTAGTTACCTGCAAAGTACTTGATTTCTTTTCTGAAACAAGATTACTGCGCTGCCTTGCTGCAGATTACATCACCTTCTTGAACTCACAACAGCAGCACCTCACCTCACCCTGCGCTATGCCCAAGCTCAAGTAGCTTTGTAAGAGACATAAGCAGCAGCAGCCACCGTAATCTTGTTCCTCTGGCAGTGGAGCAAAGCACAGGGGCATGGGGTAAAGCGGCACAGGTAGTGTTGCCCTGAAAGGGAGCCTGCTTGCCTGGGCTACGCAGATGCTGCCTCATGACACAGGTGCCATTCCCTTGTACCAGAGAGCTGTGAAGAGGCTGGTAATAAGAATCTTCCCCATCGCCTCCTCAAAGCAAGACAGGAACGCAGTTTGGGACTGGCTGTTCCCTGCACACAAGCACTGGACCTCATTCTTCACGCCTCGCATGCTAACTGCTTAGGATAGCATTACAGGGGGTAAAACGACACTTTGAAGATCCACTGCTAATCCTGCGCAAGACTTACCGAAAGGGATCCTTGGGAGCGAAGTAAGCTGGGGCAGACAGGTAAC